TCAGGTTATTGGTGGCCTCATAAAGAGTTGGAAAATGTTTCATCCTCTTATTTTTTCTGGAGTGGGTTGAGTAAAACTTGTGTTAATTCTTCTTTGAATGTTTGATAAAATTCTTCAGTGCAGCCCTATGGGTCCAGAGATTTCTTTTGGGAAGTTTTTAAATTACAAGTTCAATTTATGTAATAGGTAAGGGAATATTCAGGTCATCTGTTTTATCTTGGTGAAGTTTTGGTAGTTTGTGGTTTTTGAGAAACAGTTCCTTTTCTTCCAAGATGTCCGTTTTCATAATATTCTCTTATTGTCCTGTCAGTGATGGCAAGAGGTGTTGTAAGAACCCTGTTTTATAGTTGATATTGGTGATGTGTGTCTTTTTTCTTTATCTTGCAAATCTTGCTAGAAGTTTTTAAATTTTGGTTTTTTTAATAACCAGTTTTTTGTTTCATTAATTTTCACTATTGTTTTACTATTCCAATCATATTATTTCCTTCCTTTTTCTTGCTTTCAGTTTACTTTGCTAGGCTCTTGAGGTAGGAATTTAAATTATTGTTTTGAGATAATTTCTTTTTTCTGATGTAAGTTTTTAGCACAATAAATTTTCCTGCCAACACTGTGTTAACTGCATGCTACAATTTCAATTTTAGTCCCACAAGACATGTAAGTGTTTTTGTTTAATTTTCATTCAATTATGTTCAATTGTTTATTTTCCTTGTGATTTCCTTTTGGGGCCATGAATTATTGATAGCACATTTTTAAAATTTCAAGTATTGTGTTGGAGATTTTCATGCTGTCATTCTGTTATTGAGTTTTATTTTGATTCCACTATTGTTAGAGGACATACTCTGTGCTTTCAATTCTTTTAAATGTGTTAAATGTTATTCTATAACTCAAGGTCTATTGATGTGAATGTTCAATGTTTGTTTGAAAAGAATGAATATTCTGTTGTTGGGTAGAGTGTTCTATAAATGTTCATTAGATCTAATTAGTTGGTGGTTCTTCTACATCCTTGCTCATATTCTGACAACCATTCAGAATGGGGGTATAGAAGCCTTCAGTCATGATTGATTTATCTATTTTTCTTTTCAGCTCCATTGAATTTTGCTTTATGTATTTTGAAGCTCATTGTTGGATGCATACACATTTAGAATTGTTGTCTTCTTGGTGTATGGAGCATTTTATCATCATGTAATGTTACTTTTTGTCCCTAGTGATTTTCTTTGCTTTGAGGTCTACTTTATATGCTATTAATGTAGTTAATCCTCCTCTTTAACAATAAATGTTTGCATAATATATATTTTCTATTCCTTTACTTTCAACCTATCTATGTGTTACATTTGAAGTGAGTTTCTCATAGACAGCATAAAACTGGGTCATGTTTTTGTCCACTCTTCAATTTTTGTCATATAATTGTTATGTTTACATGTATATCATGTGCATAATTATTGATACTTAAGGGCTTAAGTCTCCCATTTTATTTGTTTCTGTGTGTTTCTTCTGTTTCTCATTTCTTTTTCTTTTTAAAATTTTTTTGTTTTAAAGATGTGGGGTAAGCCGGGCTCGGTGGCTCAGCCTGTAATCCCACGCCTTGGGGAGCTGAGGTGAGTGGATTGCCTGAGCCCATAGGTTCAAGACCTGCCTGAGCAACTTGGTGAGACCTCATCTCTACAATAAATCAAAAATTAGCCAGACATGGTAGCGCGCACCTGTAGTTCCAGCTACTTGGAAGGCTGAGGCGGAAGGATCGCTGGAGCCCAGCAGGTCTAGGTTGTGGTGGCCGGGAGCAGCCACTGCACTCCAGTTTGGGTGACAGAGTGAAACTCCAACTCAATAAACTAAACTAAACTAAAATAAAATAAAATAAAATAAATAAAGATGTGGGGTACAATTCAGGGTTAGGCATACAAATATTCATTATGAAGGTACCCTTGTTGATGAGGTATGCCCCACTCCCCTGGCAGTTTCCCTCAACTGCCAATCCCACCCCCCTCCCCTGACAATATCCCACTACTGCCAATCCCTTTCTTATAGTATTATGATATTTGTTCAAGGTCCACTTATGAGTGAGAACATATGGTACTCTGTTCTT